AAACACCTACTCTTGACCAACACCTTGAATTCAAGCAATGAGAGAGAATCAGAAATGTGAGAAAAATGAGTGAATGAGAGAGTTTTGAGAGTGGAAGAGAGTTGAGTGAGAAGAGAGTTTGGGGAAGAAAGTAAAAGGAAAAAGGGGTCTCACATTTAAATACATAAGTTTGTCTAAATATAAAATAAAATTTCTATAAAGAAAAATACATATCACAATTGTTCTCTACGAGTTTTCATAATTTGAAAATATTGAATGATTTGCTCATTTTCAATATTATCAAAAATCTCTCTATATATAAGTAACTAAACAATCATTTAACCATTCATCTCCCATACGATTTCGTATCCAATTCTTGATGATATTCATAGCAGAAAAAGCTCTTTCAACTGATGTAGTTGCCACTAGTAGTATCGAGGTTAGCTCTAAAAGCAAATACACTAATGGATACAACATGTTTTATTATCTCCACAAGCTTCATAGAAAGATCACCAATCCCTTCTAATTTCGAAAAAGCACTATCAAAACATACATCCATGAAATAAATTTCAAGTTGGTTATTTAATGCCAAAATTCAACTGAAGAAAATTCAGAAGAATAAAATTGAGCAAAACGAATCAACTTCTCCTTGTCAAATGCAAAAAATGAATTTCTTGGATTTAAACATGCTACACAAAGAAGCAACTCAGTATTTGCTTCTGTGAAATAGTTGTTTAACTCTTGAAGTTGTTGATCAATTACTTGAAAAAATAATTCAACTTGAAAATGATGGAGATTAAAAACTTGCTCTACCCTACGCCTTGACCTTCCTTGTGTTTGAAAAATGTCATTTATATTTAGAACCACAATGTTATGTTTTTCACAAAATGATGAAACATTATTGAGCAAAGAAGACCAACAACATCTCTCAATGCTTGTAATCTTTGTCTGAACACTGAAACTAATTTCATAGCATTTACAATATCTTGATCACTTTTTTGTAATGCTTGAGATAACTCATGAGTAATCCCTAAAATATTTTTCATCAAGTGCAAGGTGAAAACAAATTCAAAAGTTTGCATAGAATTCAATAAAGCCTATGTTTCACCTTTTTGCGCTAAACTTATGTCATCTTCCTCAACTATTTCAAGCACATCACTTTAAATAAAGTAATATAAAAATAATAACTTTAAATACACTAACCTCAAAGATCACTTTAAATGTATAGTTTAGCTATTGAAACATGAAGGAGTAAAGTTTTTTTTTTCAATTTCACTCTTCTTCACTTTAAAATAAGTTAAAGGTAGAGACTGATGGGGTTATTTCATGGAATTTGTATGAGGGGATATTTTATGAAGGTTATTTTTATAAGGTTATTACACAAACATACTTCACAATGATGAAATATTTATTTTTATAAGGTTATTACACAAGCATACTTCAAACTTGTTAAAAATAATCATTAGTCTAGTAGTTGTAATGAATGGATGTAATGTAGATGATTATTATAGATGTATGGAATGGTGTTTATTTGTGCGAGACATTATTGATGTTATAGATGTGTATGTCAATCTTTATGCCTTATATATGTTGTATATGGATGAAATGTATTATTACTCCCTATGTTTATATGTTTATGTATGGGTTAAATGCCATTTGCAGGACTAGAACATGTACAAGAGAATATGGTTGATGAAGGAGAGGTCTAAAGAAGGGTTTGCTTTGATTAGGGTGACATGTGAACAAAGTTTTAGTCTTAGTAGTCATTTGCATTTGCTAAATTTTTATTTCATTATGTTTTCCTGTTAGAGTTTTGTTCAAATAAATATTTGCGCCTTACTTTGTTTTTATACATTATTTTCTATTTTTTTTTCATTCAATAGAGTTATAAAAAACATATTGTCAACCCTTTTTACAAAGTGTTGATTAAAATATATTTATTATTATTGTAAAATTGTTGATGTTATATTATTTATTTCTTTATTTAATTATTCGAGAGTAGAAAGGTATCATAATTTCTTGAAAAGTTCTTTTCAAAAGCATATTTTTGTCTTATAAAAAGTGTTTTTTGAAAGTAAAATTATCTTCTAGAAAGTACTTTTAAGAACTAAAAATGTATTTTTATTTTCGAGATAAGATACTAAATTATACTTTTGAAAATTCTTTATAATTTTATCTTCCAAAAAACTATTTTGTAATATATATATATA